TTTAGATTTGTATTATATCATATATATCTTCATTAGATAAAGGAAGAATCCCAGTTTTTTTTCAATAATTTTGAATTTTACACAATTTCTACGTTTGTCTTATGATGATAGTTTTTCCATGTTGATTAATAGCTATGATATTTGTTATCATAGCTTTATCACTAAAAGCTTTCCAAGAACCCTTTCAAAGCAATTCTCAAACAACCTTTTTTTTTTGTTTTTTTTATAATATCTTCTGATAGACTCAACAGATCTAAACAGCACTGTTCAGCCATAAATATTGATCTCAAAAACAAATTTGTAAATGGTCACAAAATAATAAAAATAAAACACATTTAGAAATTGCAGATTATTTCAATGAAAAAGATTTAACTTTAAATATTGAACGTAGCACTGTATCAAAAATATTGAAAAAAAGTGAAAAGTAGATCTCTGTGATAGAAGAAGGTTTCAAGAAAATTTTTAGATATAAAGGAGTCAAATTTCTAGAACTTGATCATGCTATGAATTTGTAAATAGAAAATATAATGGCAAATAAGATTATTCTAACAGATTTTTTAATAAAAAAAAGGCAAGATTTTTTGCCAATGTATTTAATATACAAGAAAATGAGTGTATATTTTCTAATGGTTAGTTATATAAATTTAAAAAACGTAATAATGTTTGTAAATATCATATGTATGAAGAGTCAGAAAGTGTGCCATTAGTATTACTTCTAGAGGAACGAGTAAGATTGCAATTAATTTTAGGCTGGTATACTCTTGATAGAATTTACAATATTGATGAAACTGTAAGTTTATTTTATTTTATTTACATATTATTTTATTTACATTATTATTTTCTAAACTAATATATAATTTATTATTACAAAGGGTCTTTTCTATCAGATGTTTCCTAACCAAACCCTTTTTATTAAATCTGTTTCTGACCGAAAAAAGACAAGTCAAGAATCATTGTACTTCTTAACTCTAATGCAATAGGAACAGATAAACTCAAACTATAGGTAAGCGTCTAAGATCACTTTCAAAAGTTAATTTAGAATACCTTCTGATTTACTATCATAGAAATCTAAAGGCATGGATGAATTCTTCAGTTTTTGAAGAGGTGCTTCATGAAATAAACAATTATTTTATAATACAAAATAAAAAGATTTTGCTTCTAATTGATAATGCTCCATCACATTTCAATCTATATAGTTCATTAACTTTAGAAGTTAAATAAGATAATAAAGATGAAGACAGTGATGGTAAAGTTAGATTTCAGGTAGTAGTTTGAGTGGCAGTTGTGATGGAAGATCAAAAGGTCATGGCAGAAGATCAAGAGGTCGTGAGAGAGGATCAAGGGTTGTAGCGGAGAATCAAGAGGTTGTGACAGAGAATCAAGAGATCGTGACAAAGGATCAAAAGGTAATCATAGTGGTGAATTAGAAGGTTGTAATGATGAAGAATCAAGAGGTCACGGTAGTCATAGTGGCAGATCAAATATTTTTTAATAGTAGCTAACTCATATTAAAGTTATTTTTTTACCTCAAACATAATAAGCCATCTCCAACCACTTGATGCTGAAATAATTGCAAATTTTAAGAACTATTTTAAAAGAAAATACTGTCGTTATATGCTAGATCTTTTTGAAGATGAAAAAGATATTAACAAAGAGAAAATTAGTATTAAAGAGACAATAAACTATATTGTAGAAGCATGGGGTTGTGTAACTGAAAAAACAATTCAAAATTATTGAAAAAAAACTGGGATTCTTCCTTTATCTAATGAAGATATATATGATATAATACAAATCTAAA